GGCACAACAATTTATGTGACCCATGCAAAAAGTAACATAAATCATAAATCGAAAAGCTGCAAGAGAAGCCGCCTGGGAACGGAAAACCGTGAATCGGGCAGCGGGAAACGGGCAGCGGGCAACGGGTGTTTCGTATGCAATTATTAATATTTTGCAAAATGCACAATTGAAATTAGTCGAAAATATTTCAATGTTAATTAGTTGACGAGCCCTGGGGCATAATTATAATTGTCTTTATACATACATATACGAATATTTATGGATATTTTTCTGGTTCTTGTTTTTTTGCCATTATTTGGAATCCATTTTCAAACGAAATCAATTAAGCGAACGCACAATGCGTTGAAGTTGAGTATGATTGGATATTTGATGGATATATGACATTACTGACCAGCTGGATATGACCCGAAAGCTGGGCCGCTGCGCATTATTGGCCGCCATTTTTGACGCTGCTTTGTTTCCGTTTCCGTTTCCGTTTCCGCTGTGCACCGCATGACACAGCTGCATTCGTTTGTTTTTGCACAAAGCGATCCATATTTGTTGTTGTTGTTTAATCATTTTTGCAATTGAATTGACGTGATGCTTTTATGACAATTTCAATCAATACACAGCACAAAATTACATATTGTTATTAATTTATGACAGCACGCGTAAATCCCACAATAAATATGCGACTTTTCGCATGAAATACGCGTATTTCGCACTAAGCCGCGACAACAAAAAGACCGAAGTCTGAAACTGGCAATGAGAACTCTGTAGAGAATATTTGCCCGCATATGCATATGTATTTTCAACACATATCCCAGACAATTATGTATTCGTAATGTTGTTACACTTGAGTAGCTACCCAAAGGCGCACCTTATAAAGCAACGTCTAGCACTGTCTGTTACATATGTGGGCACTCGAGTGAAACAATAGAATGTTGTAGGAATATGTTGTTTAATGGGCTATTCGCTGGCCAGATGGTAAAACTAACCAAAATGTTCGCGGGTTTCGATTCAAACCTGCACGCTAGCGCCATCTGTGGTCAGAGCCGTTAGTTAATCGGTGATAAATTGAAGCTAACTGCTATGCAACGCATCATAATTATGACGTATCCTTTGATGATGGTATGACATCAGCCGCGTTTGGCCTTTACAAGCTGGCTGCTATGCAGGTGGTATGACACCACCCTTTTTAAAATTGGCTGGCAAGAGTATTTAATAAGAATTAATAATTAAAGCTAACTAAACATATATATACATACATCTACTTTTCATTGCAATGGTAAGCTCATAATAGCTGCCTGTTTGTAAACAAATGCATATTATACGCATTTAATTCAATGAATGGCAAAGTTGTCCTGTTAAAAAAATAAGGTTGCATAGTGTTAACAATTAACAGAATTGCTCCACACGTATATCGATTGCTCTGCTGTTAACAGAATGTTAAAGTAGCCCATCCCTAATGTCGGTATCAGCTGTTTTGTTGTTTGGATTTTTTTTTGGACTGATAAGAAGCGACGCAATTAGGTTGTGCAAATAAATGCGAAAAAGAGCTCAACATGAGCGGCAACATACACGGCATCAGTTGGTTTCCCAACTTCCCCGACAAGTTTGTCTCATGGGGCCAGGAAATCAATTTGTACGAAGTGCGCAGCAAGGACGACCTGTCCGCCCAGAAGAGCCGCCTGCCCTACATTCCGGTCAACTTTCTATCGAACGAAACGCGCTATCAATACGCCCGATGCGTGGCCAGCTCCTATCACAGTGACCAGCCAATTATCGCCGTTGGCCTGGCCGATGGCAAAATTGGCATTTGCAACTTTCGGGACACTTACGACAGCAGTTGGGAGTACAGTAAGGCAAAATTTGAAAGTCCTTTGTGGCATTTGTTATTAATTATGCTTTAAAGCGCCGCGGCAACAGCGCATGTGCACCTGCCTGGCCTGGAATGAGTTGGACGCCAACATATTGGCCATTGGCCACGACCGACATCGCTCTGACTCCTGCATCACCATCTGGGACATTGAACGCGGCGTGCCTAAGGAAACGGCCAATTTCTTTGGCCTGGCTGAGGCAGCCAACTCCCTGTGCTGGGATCACAATCACCGCGTGCTCATAGCGGGCATGAGCCAGAAACTGATTAAGCTATTCGATCTGCGACGTAATTGAATTGAATTATCCAAGCTGGCAACGCTTTACCCTATTTGCTTTTCGCATCTTTCAGAGAGCAACGCCACCTGCCAGTCTATACAGACAAAGACAGTGCAGGGCTTGTCCGTGGCGCCCAATGGTAACTATCTGTGCAGCTATGTGGACTCGGTGATTATGCTGTGGGATCTGCGTGCCATTGAGCGACCGCTGCGCCAGATCCAGTCGTCGAGGAATCACATGCAGATCGCCTGGTGCCCGACGCGCACGTCTCTGCTGTCCTCGCTGCAGCGCGACTCACCCTACATTACGCTCTACGACATACGCAGCGTGGACAACGAGTCCAGCCGGGAGGTGTACCACGTTAAGCGGCAAATCAGTCCGTTTCCGGCCAAGTATCAGCACAGTGGTAAATTTGCCGCCGTTAATTGGCTGTCGTGGCATCCGCGTGACTTCGAGCGGGCGCTGCTGCTGGCGGATGCGCTGAATATACTAGATTTTCGGCTGCCTGCCAGCTTGCATACGGCGTACAGCAATCGGAGCAAGTTGCCGCTGCTCATGCAACGCCCACTTTATGCGGCTGCCGCTGTTAACTCGCCCACGGACAGCCAACAGCCGACGACGAGCAGTTGCAGTTCGAATAGTGCCGCCAGTTCGCTGAATGAGTACAGCGTCGGCTCCTCGCTGAGCGTGGACTATCTGCAACGCGAGCTCTTCGAGGAGGATCTGTTGGAGGAGACGCGACAGCGAGCACTTCAGGACTACGGCATAAAGCCGGAGGACAAACGATTTGCTGAACTACATCTGAGCCCGTATTTGCGCAATGTGTGGGCCACTCTGAACAATGTCTACAGCGAGGAGCGCTTGGCGGGCTTAAAGGCCACGCTGGGCATCAATCTGGGCCACACGTCGGAGGCGTTGATGGCCAGCTCGCGCATTGAGTCGCAGCTGCTGCAGTGGCCCGATGGCATCAACAACTCCAACAAACTTGTTTCCTATCGGTAAGTGATAAGTGAGAAAACTGGCTACAACAGCAACTGAAGTCTGATGTGATCTTTCGCCTCTTTACTGCAGCAGCGAACAGCGGGATCTGGCACTGCAGCTGTGCGGCTGGTCATTTGAGCACGAGCTGGACCGTTTCATAGATGAGCTTTATGCGAACAAGGAGTTCAGTCGGGCGGCAATGATCTGCGTGTTCCATCTGAAGGTGCTGACCGCCTGCAATATACTGTCTCGGGCGGCGGACAAGATGCGAGATCCGAGCATGTATCGGATAACGGCAATCGCGTTGTCCAGCTTCAATGCGGATCGCTGCAGCTCGACCTGGCGCAATCAGCGCTCGAGTGCCAACATGCAAATACAGGATCCGCACTTGCGGGCCATTTTCTCGTTCCTAACAATGGAAGCGGACAATTTTGATGCGGTGCTCAGAGAGGAGGGTGTCTCTCTAGCGGATCGCGTGGCCTTCGCGTGCAAATATCTGTCCGAAACAAAGCTGACCGAGTATATCAAGCAGCGCATACAGCGCGCCATCGAATGCGGCGATCTCAACGGGCTGCTGCTCACTGGCGAGTCCTTAGATGGCATCAATATACTGCAGGCCTACATGGATGCCAGTTTCGATGTGCAAACTGTGGCACTGGTGGCCATCAATTACTTCCGCAACGAGCATCAGGCAGACAATCGCATCCAGTACTGGATATCCAGCTATTTGGACTATCTGAACAGCTGGGGTCTGTGGGAAAAGCGGGCCGAGCTGGATATAAAAATAGAGAGCATGCGCGCCTCAGCAAGAAGCTCGCGTACCGTTTACCTATCGTGCAATTTCTGTGGCAAATCTGTGTCCAACGCGCTGCTCGATGAACCGCGTCAAAGAAGCACAAGCACCAGCACAAATCGCTTATCTTCCTGCCCCAGCTGCCGCAAGCCCTTGCCGCGCTGCTCGCTCTGCCTGATGCACATGGGCACCATCATGAATACGAGCGCCAGTGAGAGTAGCTCCACAGAGCTACAGGGCAGCTGGCAAATGAAACCCTTTTCCAAATGGTTCTCCTGGTGTCAGACGTGTCGCCACGGTGGCCACACTGAGCACATTGTCCAATGGTTCAAGTAAGTTGATCGTAATACTTGTCCCCAAACAGTTGTTAATCTTTTGCCCCCTTGCGCTTGCAGGCAAAATTCGGAGTGTCCTGTGTCCTCCTGCAATTGTCGCTGCTTTGACATGGACGGCATCAAGCCGAATGCTTTGCGTGATATATCCTAGCTGCTGTGCCAGACTTTCAACTGCAACACATACAAACGCCCACGCCATATGGTTCGCCTTAAACTGATAAGTGTTCATTGTACTTAGACGACGGCTGATGAGCCTGTAGCTTTAGTTTCTTATGACCTACAGCATTTAGCTGTTCAATTGCATTTTTTACTAATCTAGATCGAGAAAAGCAAACACACAAATACATAACGAAGCGAAACAGCCAAAGCAATTGGCGCCAATTTTTAAATTTAAATAATTCCATGCGTTTGCAACACTGGCATGAAAAACTATTTACCTATCGGTCTGTTTATCGATAACTATACTTTATGCTGCTCGATGAATTGACGTATTCGCTTACTTTACTTTTAAATATCGAATTGTATAATATTATTTTAATATTAATATAAATCAACAGAGATATGCACTTGCAGCTTAACAAGTTAATTTATAGGTAAATGTTTCTTAAAAACATATGGTTTTTGTTTTTGTGATAAATGAACTAGATCTATGAACAATTCTCACTCGGCTCATTCAGTTCAGCAACTAGTTCGATTGAACTAATGCCGAATTCTGATACAATTCTATTTCACACGTTTTTTTAAGCAGATCACAGTTGGTGTTAATTAGACATTTATTGTTAAACTATATACGTTGTGCTTCCAGTTAAATACTATTGTGATACAATCTACACATTATCCAAATTAATTGTACTGTCGTTTTTTCACAAAGTGATTAAACAAGTCCAAGTAAGAAGTGCAGGCGTGCAGCTTGGCGACAAATCAGAAATATTACAAACAACGCATGCTTTATACGCATACCCTTCCAGAACTTTAACTGTTGGTTCTTGTTTGGTTTCGGCTTCATTGATATGTTTGTGTATGTGCGGGAGTTTATCAAATTCACGTTTTGCTGGTTTTAGCTTGAGAATTTGAAATCGTGAGTGCAGCATGCAAATTGAAAATGTTCGCCTAGTCGGAAACACTTATAAGCTAATACGAATATTAATAATAGACCAGAAAGACCGCTTGATGTTCTCCATATAAAAAATATAAAATACCTTTGCAAACTTAAATGTCTGAAAATGACGTCGATAATTTTTGTTGTTGTTTAAATTCGTTTTATTTTAGCAACTCGCAGCGTTCAACAACAATGCGAACTGCGAAAATTGAAACATTGCCAACAATTTCACTATCACCGCGTGACCCTTGAAATATGTATATGAATTTTAAATGAATGCTTATCTAAAATGAATATTTTTATAACTTATCTTATTATGCATATTTCGCTATGTGCACGTTAGCTTAATTGAGGCAACAACAGCGCATGTTTAACCTTTCCGTTAGCATCCTTTTATTGAGCACTAAACTTAACTTAAAATGCAAACACTCAACGAAAGGCTTATTATGTCATTTAACTAAATTTAGCTTTTAAACGCACACAGCACACATACGTGCCCATACGTTACGCTCAGAGCTCTCTGACAAAATGCGCTCTCACTCTCTATATTTTTTGTCGCACGCTTTTAATTGCTTCTGTCATGCCCCAATCCTTACTTGCTTAAGCCAAATCATATTTATGTTGACCAGTTGTTGCTCATAAATGAGCCGGCAAAGTAAACAATGAAAAGAACCGACAGCTTCTGCATGTGTGCTCGCCTGAAACAGAGCGCGCGATTGAAAGAGGAAGACCCACAGAGAGAGAGAGAGTGAGAGCGAGAGAATTGACAAACAGCTGACGCCATATAAAACAAGGCGTCCACTGAGGCGAAATTTAAATTATTGCAACAGTTATCTATATTGAGCGACGCGAGCCGGACAAGCAACTGCTTTGCCAATTTGCCGATTTGTATTGTTTGCTCATTACTTAAATTAAAACGAAACGAAACGATTTCCAAGCAAACGAATAAAACGCACGGTTAAACTTAGGAAAACTGCACGATACAAAACCAAACTCAAATACTTAAATTCAATATCAAGGTCAGCAGCTTGCAAAAGCATTTATATTGCATTTAAAGTTTTTCTGTTTTGTCATTGACACATGACGAAAATGAAATAAAATGCTCTCAGCATATTTTTCCGGTCGACACAGTTTAAACTTTTAACCCGTCTCAGATAAAGCGCATGAACTGGTTCAACTTGTCGAAGGACAAGTTCAAAAACTCCAAGCGGAACATGATTCAAGATGTAAAGTTGCGATTTATTGTGTTTGAATACGCTACACTGTGAGAAATGCGAGCAATGTCAATCAAATTCTTTGATAGACGCTGTATACGTTTTGGTAATTCTTGCAAGACAAATCGTACCCCTGTAAATACAATGACTTATTTCTGTGAGTGTGGGATTCAATTGTGTAGCGTAGTGTAAACGTGAAACGTGTAAACGTCACAATTCTATTTGTTTTGCTGCTGTCATTTGTGTATTTGTCTGCCAAAAATTATTAAAAATTTCATTTGTTTTGCAAATTTTCATTAACATCCTGTCGAATTGTTAGTGATAAGAAAATTATATAACAGACAGCAGAGGGTCTAAAATGGCACGCTTCATCGAATAAACCAGCGCCTGTGCTTGAGCACTTTGCCGTTGAAGGGGGAGCAGCTCGTTGTCGCGTCTTATTTATTTTATTTATTTTTTTTTTTTTTGTATTGATTCACTGAGCCGTAAACATCGTCCCAATAAATAACCACCAGAGGGGCGACCCGGCCCGTGTGCATGCAATATTTCGTTAACATTTATGATAAACCTTGAAAAAAGCTTTGCCTTACACTGATCTCTGCTTGTAGTTTGACACGTAAGCTGCCATCAAGCGAACCCGCAAAGGAAGAGTAAATCAATAACAAACACACAAACCATCAAACAAAAACACAAACAAATACAGAATGTTGCGCAATACGCCTTTTGCCGGCACGCCCACCTACAAACTGCTACTGGGCTTCGGTCTCTGTTCACTGGGCAGCGCCATGCTCTATGCCTACTTCAAGACGCGCAATGACGACAAGGAGGAGGAGGAGGAGGCGGCGGGCAACAAGCGTAGGACGAATGAAGAAAGGCAACAACAGCGACAGAAGCAACAGCAGAAGGAAATCTGCCTGAAGATTGTTGTGGACAATGACCATGTGCCGTTGATAATTGGACGCGGCGGCGCCAACATTAAACTAATTGAAGAAAAGACTGGGGCAAAGATAAGATTACGGTAAATATTTAATCTCCGGTTTGAAAGGAACACATAATGAAAGGAATGACACTTTCTATGTGCAGACTGAACTCTAAATCGTTAGTAATATAAAATATTTAACCACAGCGACAAGGACAACTCGCACAAATTCTGCGACATTAATGGCCTGCCAGATGCGGTCAAGGCGGCGCGTGTGATGCTTATCAAGGAGATTGAGCGTGCGCCCATAGTCAAAATGGAGCTGCAAGTGCCGCAGCGTCTGGCCAACAAGATCAATGGCCGTGGCGGCGAGATAATACAGGACATTAGTCGTGCTTCGTTGGCCAAGCTCAGCGTAGATCCAAATGGACGCAATGGCAAGGCCAAGATCAGCATCGTTGGCAACCAGAAACAGGTGAACATTGCCCGCAAGCTGCTGGACGATCAGATCGAGGAGGACGAACAATTGCGTATTGCTGTCGACGAGGTGGAGCAGCATCGCGAACCGCGACGTTCCCCCAGCTACAGTCTTACCTCTAGTATGTACTCATCGCAGACATCGCTCAGCTCCCAGCCGCCGCGAGACAAACTGCTGGCCGCCCGCGGCGATGACAAGCCCATGGAGGTGTACGTCTCGGCCGTTGCCTCTCCCACCAAGTTCTGGGTGCAGTTGGTGGGACCGCAGTCCAAGAAGCTGGACGACATGGTCAAGGAAATGACCAGCTACTACAGCAGTGCCGAGAATCGTGCTAAGCATCAGCTTACGACACCATATGTGGGTCAGATTGTGGCCGCCGTATTTAAGTTCGATGAGAAATGGTATCGCGCCGAGATCGTGGACATTATGCCTAATCAGTACAATCCGAATGAGATGGTCATTGATTTGTACTTTGTGGACTATGGTGACAGTGAATATATCTCGCCAGCGGATATTTGCGAGCTGCGCACCGATTTCCTAACACTCAGGTCAGCATATATACCATATACCAAATGCCATATATGATATTAAGTATGTATTTTAAAATATCTGCACCTTTAAAAACATCCAGATTTCAAGCAGTTGAATGTTTCTTGGCAAACGTAAAGTCAACTATTACAGATGAGCCGAATACCTGGCAAAAAGCATCAATATCCAAATTCGAGGAATTCACTGAGGGTATGTTGTAGTTGAATACCGAATTTAAAAGCCCTATTAATTTTAGTCTCTTTTTTCATAAACAGTTGCCCATTGGCGCAAGCTCATCGCTCGTGTTGTAACGTACAAGGAGCGTCCGAAGGTCACAAGTGCTGTCAACGCCGCCACAAGAGAGGGCACACCTCTGCCCGGCGTGGAGCTATTCGATCCCACTGAAGGCGGAGAGGTGAACATTGGCGATCTGCTGATAACACAGGGCTTTGCGCTGCCGTTGGATGATGCGTATCCAGTGCGTTCGCGTTCAAGCTCGCCGTCGACTCAAAGCGATTCAACCATTGAGGAGCTGGGTGCCGCAAATACACCACGTACGCCGCTTACGCCACACTCCCCTATGTCCATGTCAATTACGAATGACGTTGAAAGCGTGGAGGACGCGCACTTTGCCGACCAGTTGCACCATTTGGGGCACAAGCTCAATGGCAATGATTTAACAACCCATATCAACCCAGTCAAACTAACTGCAGATGACTTGCAAAATAGAAATGTGCAGGCCAACAATAGCTCACACGGTGATGTGAACCGCTAGAATGCATTCTGGCCTCCTAATTCTAAAAAGTTAGTCTAAGCTAAGGTCTCGCCTTATATATATATATATATATATATATGTATATATATATATATGTATGTTTTCTTAGTTCATTGGACACAAACTGTGAAAAGGCAGCTCCGTACTTCCTTCTTGACGTGTATATACTATTAAAAAGCGTAGTCTGTAAGTTATTTACATTTAGTTATTGAAGAAATTTCTTTAATTTATCGCCCGCCAATTGGCTGTTCAATTATGGACATATCATGCGTATGAACAAAACACAATATTTTCTAAGCCAATGCAAAACAGCAAAATACTTTATTTCTTGTTTATTTAGTAGATACGCCATGTTACTTAGGCCGAAGCCATACTCTCAGATAAATAAGTTTGTACTCGGCTATTTCATACAATGTACACTGGATTAAATATCATGCCAATCATAATCTATGGCAGCTTTGTTAGTTCAAGCTATGTAAAAATGATGTACATCAAACCCAAAATACAATTTACAAAAGATTGTTGCTTAAATCTATTGCAGTCTTAAGTGTGTGTTTAGTATAAGCTATATATAATATATATATATATATGTTTATATTAGATAAGAATATCATTGGTAGTGTTTATAGCGATTGGTGGCAGGTATATGGCTCGTATCTGGCTGCGCAGGCGTGCAATTTCCATGTCGTCACGCTCCATTTCCCGTATAAGCTGCGAGAACTGAACTAGACCCTCACGGTTGCCTGGAAAGCCGTGCACCTTGATCACCTCCAGCTGCAGCTGCATAACCAGAGGGAAAACGTGCTGCATCATAAGAATCATTTCTTTGCCAGCCGACGCTTTTGCTTCCGATAGTTTTTTCGAGTTCTCTGGCTGATTCACTGTACGTATTATGTCCATGAGTATTTGTTTTGCACTCTCATTGTTAAAACTGGCCAGGTAAGACATGTCTAACGTGTTATTCTTTTGTTGTTATTCAAAATCAACTGTGCAAACACAATTTTTCTAGCAACCATACGCCCACAGTCGCCTTGCTCTTTGACATTCACCTAAAAGTGGTCATTCACAATTCGGCGCAACAGCAGTGCTGCTAAATACCAAAAGTCAGTCAACAGCTGTTACTCTGTTCACAGTTCGAGTTAAATGCATCTTCAGCAGCAAAAGTGTATACGTTGACCTAAAAAAAACGTTCATAATTAGTATTGATGTTATTAACTTACAAATGCAGTGTCAATTGTGGTGTAAGAAATACTCCAACCGTGGCTTATGATTCAGTTCAGCGTGCGCGACGTTGATCAACACTAGACGAAAAATGTCACGTCGGAGAAACAGAAAAGACACAAAAAATATATTATAAAGCTCATTATGCGCAAGTATTTAAATAGATACAAAATAATATAAAAATATGCAATTGTATATTTAGTATCTGCTTTTAATTAATTCGAAAAAATTGTCAACGTAAATTGTAGAGTTTTAACAAAGTAGATAAACAACAACGAAGGCGACGTAGATTGTGGTGCATCTCTTAGTGCAAAAAAAAAAAAACAAGTGGAATAAGTGTGACAAAAGTACAAAAAAAAGTCGGCAGCATTTGCAGAACAATAATAATACAAAGTAACAACGCAGACGCACACACGTAAACACACACACACACACACGCAGACACAAAACACATCAGCAAAGCGGAGGCAGGTGGCAGCTCAGTCAACAATTGTGCCACACATACAAAAAAAAAAAAAAGAAAAAATCACTAAGAATTATAAACACAATGAATCGCAGCGACGGCTTGGTTAGGCGCGCTGTCAAGCCACGCGAGAACGGAGCCGAGGGCGGTGGCGCTGGTGGCCTGAATGCGAACACGCCGGATGACAATCAGGACGCGCTCGACAACAACAAGGATCAGGAGGATAACATTGATGATGGCGACTCAAAGGAGACACGACTTACGCTCATGGAGGAGGTGCTGCTGCTTGGCCTCAAGGATAAAGAGGTTCGTGCGTGCCTGCCAACTGATAAGCGGGCGGGGGCTTATCAGTTGCATACATATACCTGTTACCAATTATCGTTTGTCTTTAATTAGTATAACTTGTGTGTACATATGCCACACTGCTCTCAGTCTTATCTCTCTGGCACAGCAAAGTTTCAAACCGAAGCGCAACATTTTAATATGTAGCTTCCGTTATTGTTGTCTGTTTTGGCTACTTTTCGCTCTTTCCCTTATTCGCATTCAGCAGCCATCAGTTGGCTGCTCAGTAAAGCTTAACCCTTGTTGCCTGCCTATTGCTTGATGTTGGGTTACTTCAAGGGGGGCATTGACGCATTAACCATATTACCTATTACCTTTTGTTTTCGTTGGTATTGTGCAATAAACTTTAAAGCTCAAATGCTACGGCTGTTTTCAGTGTGCACAAACGTTGGAGAACGAGTTTGGCAGCCGTGCTGCTATCATAAATGTGCTTTGGTCTTCTTCGCCGTTGATCTTCTTGCGCCTTACAGTGTGGCAAAACGTATTTGTGTTTGTGTCAAGTGTGAAAGTTGTGATTGCCAAGTGGCATAATTGAAATTAAATTCCCGTGTACATCACAGCTTTTGATTAGCTATTCAATTGCCCAAATGCTTCAAGTAAACAAGATCTCTCGAGCAGGTAAAGCTCTCACTCTTATAGGTTTAAGACTCATATTCGAAGCCCTTGGATGCTGTGCGTATATTCAAAATTTTAAGCGAGCTTTAGCAGGTCTTTCACTCATTCGTAATTTGCATAATAACGTAATACTCATAAATTTCACACATGTTTGGTGATGCCTATGGCTCTATATTCCATACGTGCCCGTTTAGGGCATGCGAATAATTCTCATTTTGCGTTTGCTCGTGCAATCGCATATTGTATTTTATTTGCCTTTGTGCCTTTATCTAACTCTGTGCGTGTGAGTGAGTGTGTTTTGCTTCCAGACCCACGACACACCCCAACCCCCCACCCCCTCATCGTCATCAAGCAGTTGCCGCCTTGGTAGTCAAACGTGTCGCTTCCAGTTTTTATTTTTTTCCTCTGATCGTTTTCTTCAATTCTGGAATGGATTCGTTCTTCTGCTGGTTCCACGGCCCTGTTATCAGCACTATTTTTTCACTTAGCTAATTGTTCGAGGAAGTTGTAGCTGCCTTCCGTATGCCCCCTTTCCTGTTCATGTTTCTGAACTTATCGCACATTATGTCAACAACTAAATTGTTTCAGCTTCTCCCAAAAACGAACAAATGATATGAAGAACGAAGACAAAGTTGTGGCACTCGCTCACTCCGTGACTCATTCACGTGCGAGTATATATATATATATATGCATCATATCAAATCGAATTACTTTTTCCAGTTCTGTAGCCGCCACTTAAAAGCTGCGTAATACATTTCATTTCAGCTTAAACAATTTATTTGTTACAGACTCAACTGTTTAAACATGAAACAGTTGCCATCATCGCAGCAGCTGCAAAAGTCGAGAGTATTTTGGCCACATGACAACGTAGCCTACTTTCTACTCTGGATATGCATTTGACACAAATATGTTTTATCTTACATTCAATTGATATTTTGGAAAAGTCCTTATGAAGAACTTCTCCGGAAATAGGAACTAGGAAAACTTGTAATTCACATGTCTTTAACGTTTTATTTATATACTTTAATCAGGGTTACACATCCTTTTGGAATGATTGCATATCAAGCGGCTTGCGCGGTTGCATTCTCATAGAGCTGGGCCTGCGCGGACGTGTGATGATCGAGAAATCGGGCATGCGACGACGTGGTCTATGTACAAGGTGCCTAACTAAGGGTATTCCATCATAAGCACAACTAATCTGTCATTGTTGCAGAAAACTGATATTGAAATCGGATCAGCAGACGGGCGATGTTTTGTTGGATGAGGCGCTGAAACACATCAAGGAAACAGATCCGCCCGAGACGGTCCAAAGCTGGATCGAATATCTGAGCGGTGAGTGCTTTGCTTGGCAAGGCCTATATATAACACTTTTTGCTAAACTTCGATTCTTGCAGGCGAAACTTGGAATCCATTGAAGTTGCGATATCAACTGAAAAATGTACGCGAGCGTCTGGCCAAGAACCTCGTGGAGAAAGGTGTGCTTACAACGGAAAAGCAAAACTTTCTGCTCTTTGACATGACGACACATCCGCTCAGCGACAATGTGGTCAAGTGTCGTCTGGTCAAGAAGGTAACTCGGGCTACATGCCAAACACAAGTCCATGCATTCATACTTGTACTACTTGTATTACAGATTCAGGATTCGGTACTCTCGAAGTGGGTTAACGATCCGCAGCGAATGGACAAGCGAATGCTAGCACTTATCTTTCTGGCGCATGCCAGTGATGTCATCGAGAACGCGTTTGCCCCACTCAACGACGATGACTACGAGGTGGCCATGAAACGAGTGCGCGAGCTACTCGATCTCGACTTTGAAACGGAGGCGGCCAAGCCGAATGCGAATGAAATACTTTGGGCTGTGTTTATGGCGTTTACGAAATAGGGCGGTTGCCTAACTACACACTCCTCCCCAAATCCGGCGACACATTCAGTTAGCTGCACACACACACACACACACACACACACATGCATACCTACCTATACATACCCATTAAAACGTTGGCTACTTGATTTCTTGGCGAAACGGGTGATTGCAACACGCCCGCTATTCGAGTTTTCTTCAGCTAACTTTAAAATGACAGTGCGAAGCAAGAGCAGTCTATAGAAGCATCTATATATATGTATATGTATATGTATATATATATACATATCGCTGTAATAACTGATGAAAAATCATTCGTTTATTTCGTTTTTATTTCATTTCGCAATTAATTTATGTAAACGAAATGCTAGCTAATAGTTGAATTTTATAAACAATCGTATGCCGTATTATTCCATAAATTGTGTTCTGTGTAATTTGAAACTATTTCGGCATGCGAATAAACATTATATCAAAATTTCATCAGAGTCGTCGTTGCTTAAAAATTATAATAGTAACTAAGTTGTAAGCTGCAAAAAGAAAAAGATAAATTAAAAAACTAAATAATTTGAGCTGCGACAGGTTTTTTGTAATTATATAATATTAACACTAATTGTAAGAGCAAATTCTGATGCAACAACAAACATTTGTTTATAAACCTGCAAAATGTGTGTTTACCTATGTTCCAATTCTATTAAATTTAAAAAATATTCATTTGTATTATGTATAAACAATTTATCTACACACACACACACACACATACGCAGAGACAGTGATTTGAGAAAGGGAGAGAGTGAACATCATAGGCAATGTTTAATTAATTGTTATGAGTTTCGGGAACATTTAAATCGAAAACTTTTCTAAACTTACAAAACGAATGAAAAACAAAAACAATCTACAAATTTATGTAAATGTAAAATGTGCACGTCAAATAATAATAATTCTAGATATTTAAAGGCCTAAAATAAAATAAATACCTATATATATTTACCCTTCTATTAGAGGTATCTTTCATTAACTATGAAGGACCAAGTTAATCTTATCTTAATTGTCTAGAACTTAAGACTCTCAAGCAAATTTTAGCCTGAGATGGTGACTTGATTCCCTGCCTCAAGATTCTGTTCGTGAGCCTATCTATAATCCCACAACTTTTTTAATGAATTATTTGCTGTAACCGATCCACACACATATGATAAAATGGGCTCTGCATAGTTTTAAGACAGTAAAAGTAAATGTAAGTGTTTTTTAAGTGATATCAGATATTAGACAAACAGGTAGACAATTTTCGATAAAATTACTCGGACTATCTTTCACGAAACTAAGTAATATAATAAGTTGTTTCAGCAAGTTCACTAAAATATTAGAACATTGAAGTTCTTAATTGGTTAGGTTGAATAATATATTTATCAGAAAGTTGATTAAGCAGGATAATAATTTTCGGCCAGCTGAATACATTTTGCTAAATTATAAGTATATTTCAAATTACAAATATTCCTTTTAAAAGCAAGAAAAATTCGCTCGAAAATTGATTAAAATTCAAAGCGTGGAATATGAATTGGTCAAGCCCAATCTTCTTGATTTCAATTTTTCAAATAATTTCATTACCATATTTAGATTTCCGGGTTCAAGTATTGCAATTTTGCAACTAAAGAAAAGAAAAAAGGCAAAAACGATAAAAATTTGTTTTGATAAGGATTTTTATTTCATTTTCAATATATTTTTTGCACAGTTGGATTTTTTCGGGATTCTGGGAAAAGGGGGTCGCAAATACCAAGTAAATTTATAATAATTCTCAGACGAAAGGTATTTATAGATAATAATAATAATCTGAATTACGATACACATATTACATTAAAGACAGTAAACAAAATATTGCATACAGGTTTTAAACACATGAAACAGTTTTTGAAATCATTTGTTTCCCTTCTAGAAACATTTGTATATTGATTGTAAATGAATTTGCTGTTACAAGTTAATATATTTGCTTTCTATGCAGTGTTTACAATCTACATATTTATCGAATCAGGCTTGCTTCATGGTATTGTTTTTAATTTGGGAGAATTTTTAATGTAGCTGATATTTTTAATTTAATTAAAAATATGAGCGAAACTTGAAAGGAAAATCAAAAGAAAAAAAAAAACAAAACTAATTTGTCTAATTGCAGTTGCTCATTTAACAAATGTTCATAGCGCAGAAAATACACACATATATTGAATAATTTAGATTGATAGAAAAGAGAACATGCAAAATGTGGAAAGTATAATAAAAGTTAATGGAAGATTTGTAACTCGCGAAATGATGTCGCAGATATATGTTTATATATATGTATATATGTATGTATAATTGAAGTTTAATCTGCTCTATGCTATAAATATGTCAACACGCTCATTTAAACCGACGACTGTTCAGTGAGAGGCGACGCATGCGCGCCCGATTCTGCGAATAGCTTCTGGACCAGCGCTCGTCAGTTGCAATGCTGCTGACAGCCGGCGATTTGTACGTGTTGCCTACGTGCTAACTTAACAGGTCCTTGATCTCCTTGTGCATGTGGCAAAGGAAATCCACATAGCTAGCAGAGCCATCTGTGCCGCGATCCTCGATAAGAAAATGCCGAAATACGCTCTCCAGTTTATCGTTCTGCCGCACACATGTGACCTGCAATTATTATAGGTTGGTCAATATGTTTGTGAAGCATTAAATTAGATGTTCTTTAAACTTACCCGCATGTATCGAGTACGTTCGTCCATAATCTGATCGATGATATCTGTAATGCGTCGTGCCAGCGGCGTATCGGCGGTGATAGCGAAACGTTCGGCATTTACCTGCTGCGTGCATTGGACTCCGAAAACAGATTGCACAAATGTGGACGACAGGGACTGGCCCAGCCAGATGAAGAGATGGACACCGTTCTCCAGTATGTAAGCACCGTCCTCGGTGATCTTTTCATGTGTGCAGCGCACTGGCGTTGGTAGCGACGTCTCGTCAGGGTCCACATTGTGTATGGAATGAAGCGTGGATATAAATAGTTGACGGACATATTCAAATCCATGGCCAGCACAAATTGTATGACATAGGAGCGATCATCCAGGGTCATATCAGATCCACCAGAGACGGCATCGTTCTTCAGCAAACACGATGAGTACAATGGCAATAGCTTGAGGCACTCGGGCAGTATCAGCTGGCCAGCTGATGTCGGAGATGTGCAGTGCTTGCGATAGCAGGCCAGAATCTGCGCCGATCGCTGTATGAGATTGTCCTTGACCTGTTTTGGCGAGTGCTCCATCAGCTTAAAGCACGCTTGCTTCGCAAAGAAAAGCATCATGGCGTCCAAGTCGCAGCTCTTGAACACATCTGCTATGGTTACGGTTACGCGCAGCGCCAAATTCAATATGCGCAGACGTCTCTGGCCACTGCACGATGTATACAACAACGCTACCTGAATATAGACGTTCTCTTCCGGCGGCAGCTTATCATCATGCTTGATCTCAATGCTCACCGACTTGGTTGCATCTGTAAAAAAATAAAATAGAATATGCAATTAACAATGACAGTCTCGCAAGCTCACAACTTACCAATGCTTGCCAGCTCCACGTCGGTGGTGTTAGTCATGTAGAAGTGGCCAAAGAACTCGGTGGGTCTAACGCCCGCAGAGGTTCGAACGCGCATCACTGCATCAAAAGCAATCGGACGCGATACGTTTTTAATGATGTCCTCAATAAGACGTTTGCCATCGAGTTCCGCTTGAAAGTATGTGTACTTATAAACCTCACCACCCGTCAGACGCGACACTTGGCCAATGGTGGCAATATCAATGTAGGCGTTATTGAACACAAACAGATCAACGGAGCAGCCTTGCTGCACACATTCCTGTCCAAGCTGATTGTACGCAGTCGTTTGCGGCGTCAGAACCGTCTTCTCCTTGTCTGTGCCAAGCAGTTTGCGATCATCACGGTTCTTGAGCTTGCCAGGCGCTTCGGCGATGGGCAGCGTTGAGTTGAATACCAAAAGCTTGCCAGAGGCATTGGATGCCTTCAGGGCTTCTAGACCAGCCTGTATAGCTGGATATAGTATAGTTTCTGTTTCCTTGGTGTCTACAAACATGCGCGGTATTTCCTCCATTAGTGCATCGATCACGGCCGCCGATTCCTCTGGATGGCAAAGGAAACCATCAAGTAGCGGCATAAACATTTCCTGCACATCGCCCACAACCATCATCTGAGGCTGCGCCAAGCTACTCTTGATATTGTAGAAGTGCACAGTGCTGTTGTAGGTTATGAAGCCGACGCGCACCTTCGACTTGTCCTGACCCTGGTCCACAGGCAAATGTTTGAGTATGTGCTTTATTTGCGAGCAAAGCAAATGCACTAAGCCAGATTTGATCGTATTGTACGAGACGTCTATGATGAAAATAAACGCCGGCACCTCAGGAGCCGTATTGTTCTATAGAATAAAAAGCAATTAAGATAACAGCTGGGAATAAACGAGTTCGTTAAACTTACGCGACAGTAATCCTTGGTAGCTAGAAACTCGTAAGTACCCAGAAGCAGCTCCGGTCGCTCATGCTTATCCACTCGCTGCCCGGTGTGGTCCAAGTGCTGATAGTAGTCCGGATGCACTATGGGAAAAATAATTAAAATGAAATTTTATAACTGGTGTTTCCAATCTTTACCTTCCGTTGTGACCTTGCACATGAGGCACTGGAAACGTCGACCTGCATCCACGAATTGCATATTGGGCGACATGTAGGCCTTGCAACGATTGCACCGTATGGGACCCATGTCACCAAAATTCACTATTGGCGGCTCCATTTCACCCTGGCCAATGCGCGCCAGCGGTGAAAATGTTGAGCGTTAGTGGCAGTGCCGTCGTCTTGAGCAGATCGCCCGTATTGGGTATACAGTAGAGAGAGGAGCGTATAAAGCGCGGCGAGGAATTGCCCTGATCGTGGACGACAAACTTCGTGGTCACCAGCGGCGGCAATAGGCCAGCCTGATTGGTCACAAATGGACCTCCAGCGGCTTGCTGATTTTCAATCATCACCTGTATGGGATTTGGCATTTGATCGGGATCTAGGCGACGCGGCGGTGCCTGTTGGTACATATTGCCAGCGCCCGGCATGGGTGGCTGCTAGTAAGAGCAGAAAATGTTATTGCGGCAATAGCATATGATCAAGTTATCATTTCCTTCTACTGTTTACAGGTACTTACATTGTAGCCAGGACGACCGGGTCCTGGTTGTCCCGGATAGGTGCCAGGCTGGGGCGGATAGCCGGGCATTGGCTGTTGTGGCTGTTGTCCAGGCTGGGGTGGATATCCGGGCATTGGCTGTGGCGGATAGCCAGGCATGGACGGCTGTTGCAACTGTTGCCCTGGTTGTGGCGGAAAGCCGACTGCTGGAGGCGGAGCTGCGCCAAATTGTTGAGGCTGTGGCGGCGCTGGCTGCTGACCTGGTAGCGGTGGTGCGCCTTGGAATGCAGCATTTGGTTGCCCGGCATAGCCGCCTGGATAGTTTCCAGGCGGTGGTACTCCATATGGGCCACCAGCCGCGGCCGGCTGAGGTGGCATGCCAGATTGCGCGAACGTGCCTGGAGCAGCGCTGCCGGGTGGCTGCAGCGGTTGACCAGGTCGTGGATAAGCTGGCTGAGCTGTTGGTGGTGGCGGCTGCGCAGCGGCGATGGATGTTGGTGGCAGCTGTTGTCCAGCTGGTTTTGGTGGTGGCATGTGTGGCAAACCCGCCAAATTGGCGCTTGTTGAGTGTCATCTGGTTGATGCCGCTGGGCACACTTTGCGGCATAGGTGCAGGTGCCAATGCAGGCGGAACAGAAGTAGGCGCCGCTGATGTGGGTGGATACAGCGACGGCGGTGGCGCTGCTGCTCCTCCAGCTGCAGACACGGGAGGTGCCGGAGATGGAACTGTTGAGCCATTTGCATAGGCTGCCGCGTATGCATTGTTGTTATTGTTGAAGCTTAAGCCTGATCCGGCCGGAGGCAATGGCTGCGACGTTGGCGGCGCGTTCGAGTTAAACTGATTGTATGAGCCCGGCGGTGCAGCAGCTCCAACTCCAACCGAGGGCATAGGAAGCGACGGCTGTGCAGGCTCAGAGGATTACCACTCACACTCAAGCCGCTCATCGACGTGGCCAACTGTGTGTAGGCAGCGACAGAGACAAAAAAAAAAAAAAGAGGGAGATAGAGTTATTCATAAGTACATGCAATACAGTTCAAATCGATTCAATTATGTGTGGACTCTTATCAGGCAGCTTTCCATTATGAAACGTTTGCTGACCTCTTTACAGCATGAGGCTCAAGCACGACTTAAAAGTAATACTATCATCGACACACAAAGTTGATTACTCTTTGTGGCAGCAACGAAGCGATTCGAAATTGGGATGCTATAACATGTTCTCCGTTGTGCTTAAAAATCAGACTCAGAAGCTCACCTGCTGGTAGTTGCCATTCACATAGGGCTGCTGAGCGGACGTCACCGCAGCGCCATATTGTTGTTGTTTGCTGAGGCTGCTGTTGTTGTTGTTGTTGCTGAGGCTGCTGTTGTTGCTGCTGTTGCTGCTGTTGCTGTGGGTGCTGCTGTTGCGCTGGCGGCGGCGGCGGCTGCTGCTGCTGCTGTTGTTGTTGTGGCCAACCGTCGGTGGCCGTGTGCCACTAATCGGCGGCGGAGCTGCATATTGTGGTTGGAATTGTGTAGGCGGTGGGCCATACATATTCGGATTCATAGCTTAAAGTGGCCTGCGAGCAGCGTCTCAAAATAAGCACATAAAAATCAAGCAGCAACTTTCACACACAAAACACAAATTGCAGCTCAAAGTTCGCGTTACCGTTCCCACGAATTCAAACGATTTCAGACCTTGCTGAGTCGAAATTCGGCTTAGATGCGTTGGCTAGCGGCTGTTGTGCAATTATTTGCAGCTTTCGCTGGGAATGGATGCACAGGTAACGCAGTTTTTTAACACAAATTCCAAGCAAAACGAACTTCCACGTCAGTTCGCTAATTCGATTTTTTTTCTGCTGCCTATGGCTGCATTTGACAGTTTGCCACGTAAAGTTGTCGCCTGTGCGACTTATATCGATAACAGTCAAGCAATGAGCAGTGTTGTTGATTTCGATATGTTTGGCGATAGTTTTTTTCGAAAATCAAATGCTGCAACTGATAGAAATACAATCGTATTGAAGAGTGTGTTGATTAAACAATTAGATGCTACGTATTTTTATTATATATACTCATTATGAACCTAACGCTCTTATATATGTTACCTTAAAGTCAGATCACAGAAACTGTCATAGATAAAAAACACTCATCCGTCACATTAAAACGAAGTCAGCTAAAAATTAAAACTAGTATCGATAGCCAATCTCTAAAAATATCGTATCCCGGCAACATATCATGTGTTAACAGTGCACTGTTATTGCAACATATTTATTGTGGCCGTTACATTTAAACTCTTCATGTCTCATATGCTCCGTAATAAATTGATAGGGAATGAATGTGGCGGAGAAGTGATCGTAAATGGACACAAATTGCAAAAATACTGTATCCAAAAGGTATGAAGGTCAGAAACTAATAGTTAAAATTACAACGTAAATTGCATCGTTATTTTTATTTAAGGTTGGACAATAGGAATGGAAGGTTCACGTATTGGGCGAAAAGGCTGACGAGGATGTTGATAACTCTGAGAATCGATTCTGTATTTCTTTTTCTCGAACGCACAGTTGACTGAACGCCCTCGAAAAAGCGAAGCCCAGTATGCCGCTCAATCTCGGCAATGTCGCACAGATAATCCGTTCAATTCGGTGCTGCTGCTTGAAGCATTTTGTTTATTGTCTATTATGTAGCCTTCCATATAGGGAGTATATTCCGGCAGCTGTGGATCAATGATGAGCACCTTGAAATAGTGAGATGGCATTGGGAGCGGAATCCAATCAACAATTTGATATTCTAAAGTCCAATCCTCGGTAGGGCGGCAAGATGGCAAATACATGGGACCTGTGTACACATACACCGAGCCGAATTTTTCCGTCATTTGGGACACATGCTGTTCCAGCTTACGCCAAATTTCACGCTTGAAGGCCTTACCAAACTCGCGTGCCGCCACAGCTCAGAACAAATACATCATTGTAGCGAAGATGCAGTGCATCGCCGTCCGCTCGGTGGTAAGCTTCTTATAGTTGCCTTTCAGATGCTCGCACATCCATTTTGGGGAATTGGTGCTCAAGTCCTGCGATACAACGTAGTCCTTGTGCACATACAGATTCTCTATGCTAGGTAGACCAAACTTGACCAGATCCAACAAATCTGGCGTACACGACATGGGCCTCTTGTCAAAAAATATATTGCCAATTATATCGAATAGTGAAAAGAACAAACGGTGGCGTATTCTGTCCGCCAGGGTCGGCGACAGATTCCACAGCCTCGCCTCATGATCCGTCCTAAATGTAGACAGCTGAACGCCGAGTGAGGCAGTTGGTAAATGTTCCAACTTTCACCATATACTTACGAGTGGGTACAGCTTACGGCGATATTGAAACACATATGGGTCTCTCCTTATCATGCCAAACAGGTGACGAATTGCACTTTCTTGTTGGAAGTAGGCACCGAATACAAATCCCGTCAAGCCCGCCAGCGCGTAGAGCGCACATTGTTGGGCGCCGGCCTCTGTGGCCGACATTGTGATGCGTCGCAATTTTTAAAAAAACTATCTATATATATATATATATATATTAATGCCGCCTAGTTACTTTTAATTTTTTTGTGTTAATCCTTTTTCAGATTTTCTCTACAAACGAAAGAACAAGTTTTTAAAAATGAGCTACTGTCTGAAAATATTGCTAGTTGCCAAAAAAAAAAAATTATATTTGTAGATCAGATGTCTACGGGGTAGTAAAGTTCTTTATTTGTAACTATGACTATGTCCATCTCTGGGCATCTCCTGGTTGCAAATAATTATATACTAGGAACTCAATTTAAACCAAGAATGGCACACAACAGGAATTGCTTGTGAATGGACGCATGAGGCAAGCTCAAGAATAGGTTTAAGCAGAGATATAAAAAGGATCCTTGTCGTGTAAGAATCGTCAATCTGCATCAATGACCATCGCTTGATGAAGCCCAATCCCATTCTGATCTTATTTCGAATTTAAGTTTATGATCAAGAATGAACATAAATTATTTAGGTATTGTTGACACGCTCGAGCAGTAAGCTGTCTAGGAAGAAAGTCATTGCCTTCAACTTGACACAGTTTAGATCTAACAGGTTAGCTTGACACCAAGACCGAAATTTACCAAAGTTCAACAGTTTATTGTGTAAAGTAAATTAGCTTTATTAACAAATGATAGCAAACTTCTGTTACAGGAACTTAATTTTATTTTCAAACCTCGAGATTGAGCCAGCTAATTAAGCAAAGTCTCGAAACACTTGCGACTGGCTTGGATAGTTGCTGCCGAATATTGCGCTTCTACGTATGCCCTGAAAGAAATTAAGTCCTGCAAGGTGCTCGATCTCCCGTATATCGCAAAGAAACTCGCGGATCGTTAGTTCCTCTGGTATGGGTGTATTTGGAAGCACATAAGCCTCCCATATAGGGCTTGCCCAACGGCAGTTTGGACTCCACCATGATCACCTTGAAAAAGTGAGTAGGTACCGCCACCATACTGGAGCCGATCATCTGGTATTGCACACTCCATTTGTCATTGCCCTGTGGTCGGGGCTTGAACAGAGGGCCCGTGCACACATATACTGACCCAAATGTTGGGCTAGTTCCCTTACATAGATCTCCAGCTTGTTCCCAGGCACCGCTATTGAAGCCCTGGCCTATCTGCGGCGCTATGTTGGTCAGGAAGAAGGTTTCGTTGCAATCTATTTGTTGGCCACGATGATTTCCAGCGGCTGCCAGATGACCACGATCAAAGCCAGAGTGTCTATAGTCGGCGAGCGTCGATCGAAAAGTCGAGGGCACACTCAGATCTGGCCGATAGGCGGCGCGAGCGCGGATAACGTGCCGCGTACCCTGTAGATCTGACTTCTGCAAGTGCTCGCATACCCAATGCGCCACGCGATTGCGACGATCGTAGGAAA